TGGGGTTGAGACCCCCACAAGGCTCAAAGGTCCACTTTTTGGTCCACTTTTTATGTAAAGGTCCACTTTTTGGTCCACTTTTAATGTAAAGGTCCAAGATTTTTCTTGAAAAGATGGACTGGAATCATAGAAAAACTGCTCCCATTGTCATTGAATAAAAATTTATCTCTGATTTTTTCTTGGAAATCCTCTCAAAAATGCACGAAATGCCATTTTAGAAGGTTCATTTTTCAAATTTTCCGGGGGAGCATGCCCCCGGACCCCCCTAAGAATCTCGCGCCTTCGCCGCTCGCCTCGCGCCTTCGCCGCTCACCTCGCGCCTATGGCGCTCGAGGTCCCCTCAAGCAGAGGGAAGAACCCCCCCATTCAAAATCCTGGCTACGGGCATTTTGTGTAAAATCAATCTGTTAAACCATGCAGTTATTTACAATCACAGTCAACCTTGTCTGTAGTGAAGACAGGGTTCTTGGGTAAATAGGAAAAATTATGTAGGGGACCACGAAATATTAACAGGTTTGTACTATTGTTAAAGTCTTTCTTTAAATATATACATTGAAATCAATTCACAAGTCAGAACAATTATTGCATTTTTATGACAAAGTTTCTGGGAAGAAGGCAAAGTTAAAGAAGTCCAAGTGCTTTGAATTCATAGGCTTCTCTTAGTATTAGAATGGGATCAGCTGTTCGAACGACAAACAGTCAGTCCTGTCTGTTAGATACGATTGTTCTACGAATTGAACTTACAACTGTCTGTTACACAGTGTTATGTACATGTAACACATGGCAATCCATAAGATATTGAACATGTGTGATGGCTACACCTTATTCTTAAGAGCAAAAGGTAGTTTTTTTAAACAAACTGTAAGAATTTTTGAGAAGAAATGAAACAAAACAAAACAAGAAAAAGACCAGACAAGACAAGAAAAAGACCAGAGTGCATTTTGAACCCCTAAAAAACATCCTGATTGATTAAGTTTGGAATCCACAACCTTCTTCAAAGGTTTTATTGCTGATTTCTGTAGATACCAGTACACTGTAGATAACACCAAGCAATGGTGTTACACAAAGCATATCTTTTTCTTAAGTCTGCACCTTTAGCACCTAAGATTTCTTACTACATTAGCGGAGCTTTCTTTGAAACTTTTTTGCTTATGATATTTGCCATAGTTGATTTCATTGTTGTGCAATAGTTCATCTTCTATAGTGATACCATCCAATATGTATCTACAAGTGCTAGATACACAAGCTTTGGAATGTTGTGCACCAAAATGTAGTCATAAAGATACAACACTGTGGATCATAGTTTCCACACATCTTCCCACAGTCATAGCAGAAGTATTAGGAGTAGGAATGTATACACCACGAGGTCTATTTACATTAGAGTACGTGGAATTATCTTTCATCCTTTATAATGTCCAATTACATTGGATTGGAGTGGACTAATCCTAAAAAACAACAGACATCTTTCACACCACAGTGAGTTACTGAGGGACCACTGCAATGCAAAAGATGGTTGTCCATTCCATATATCTGCAGAACTGTATTAGATTGCTTGGCCTGGCTGTTCTTGAAGCTTAAGATTTTTTAGTGATTTTCTTATCCGATATCCCTCTGAAAAAGACATTCCCTGGACCCCCTAGGTCCTGCAACAGAGGCCCCGGAGATGACACATGTTGTATGAGCATCTCAGCCATCGTATTTTGGCCCCAGATGACGTGACTGTATTTCTGCTCCAGGGCCCGCTTCAGTTCCATGGCGTGGTCCCAGTCACGCGTCTCCACCACCACCTTGGCCTGAGGCAAGCAAGGTGCATGATGGGGAGGGCCAGGTGCATGGTGGGAAGGATAACAGGATGGACCAACCATGACAGACAAACCAATGATGCAAAGGACCAGTTGCATGATGGGATATCCCAATGGCATGGTGGGAAAGGTAAGATACACCAAACAAAGAGCAAGCATATGACGAAAATAGGTATGAACCATTTGTATTCGTGTGATTTGAATAATTTAAAACCAGAAATTAAAGCAGTAGCACATACATGCAAAACAGGGTTTCAAGGGTATGAAGGGATGGAAAAAAGAATCACCTGTTAATAAGTATGGCAGTGCCAAATGGATGAAATAATGATAGAAGCACACACACATATATGGCTACTAGTGATGCATATCTAAACCCAATTTCAGGTTCAGGTCCGGATTCAAGTCCAGAGGTTTAGGTTCAGGTCCGGACTTAAGTCTGGACCTAAACCCATGGCATATGCAAAATTGCATGTTAGCAACCTTGCAATGTTGTCTGGGTGAAACTTTGGCCACATAAAATGGAGGCTGGTACTTGACGATGCCCGATGACAATGTTTTCTTCATTTTGCAGCAAAGATTTTGGAATCTACGGAAGGTTTTAGGTGGTTTAAGAAGAAAAGGGGTATGTGAAATGGTCTTTTATGGTAATAAGTCCGGACTCGGTTCTTGACTTTTAGGTTTTTTTGGACTTGAACCTAAACATTTTTACAAGTCCGGATCCAAGTCCAGTGAACCGGTATGCACCACTAATGGCTACCTTGTTTTGTTTAAAGCTGAGCAGTTATCCCCTATCTGCTGTGGGTGTATCCATGCATGAAACCTGTCTGTGTTTTAGTAAAAGTCAGCAGGGAGAAACATGCCTGAGAAAATCAGTGTGTTATCATATACAGTATGTCTTACATGTAGTAATTCTACAGTTCAAACAAATCAGAGATAAAAGAAAGGACAATAGAGTAAGGAACACAATTATCATTTTTTTATTAATTCCCAGAGTACTTTTAGTAGGGGCTGGAAGATTTGTGTCCATCTTGCCTATTAAACAAATGAAGACCCCTAAAGTATGACTATAGGAAAACATAACGATCCAGAAATGGTATGATCCTTCACAGAAGACAAAATGATTCTCAAAAGATACAAGTTTTGCAGCCACATTTATACCCTACAAAACTGATGCAGGGGAAAACATCTAGTTACTTTGTAAGGAAGCCTCCAGTTTTGCCTGTGACTAGTTATATCTCCAGATTAGAGGGATAAGTACAGGGTTTCTCAACAACTGACCAACAAAACAGGTCCCTTTGCTTCTCTACAGAATAAACAAGATGTTTATGACTATGATAATTTGTACAAGTCTACAAACACCAAATTTTGACCTCACTCGTGAGTACAGTGCCACGTGACTGTCTTTTTTACCTACGGCCCCATCAGGCTATGTGGGCCCCAGTAAACACTCTCATACCGAGCCTCGAGAGCTCTGCGTAACTCGTCGGCATGTTCATGACCTCGTGTCTCCACGATACACTTGGTCTGGACAGGACACAGCAGGGGATGATGGGAAGGGATAACAGTGCAACACAGCAGACAGGGGTAATGGAGATAATGGAGAAATGGGAGAGAGGAAAACACAAAGAGTGAACCTCCATGCTGAGAGAAATGAAAAATGACAAAAGAACAACTTTTATCCAATATATGAGTGCCAAGCTTACCCCTGATGTATGTGGCCACAGCTGATTTTCATGTACTCTGTGACTGCCACATACGAATATAGGCTTTGAATCTGCATGTACTGAACTTAATTTACATTTGGAGAGGCCAGGGAGGGAGGGAGGGAGGCAGAGGTAGAAGACAGGATTACCAAATCTTTTACCTCTAATGCTATGTAATATCACCTGCACTATGTGCTACACAGGAGATATTCTATCTTAAATCAAACAGATCTCACCTGTACACTGAAGATGTCCGATGTGAGCCACGCCCGCTCGTGGAAGATGTCTTTAAGGCTGCACAGGAAGGAAATGCATTATCTTTTAATATCTTTAAGTTTTTAAGTGTGGACTGCTAAAATGTACATGTTAATTTTATCAAGTACTTAAAAATGTTTGTCAATGAGAAGGAAGGAAGGTAGATGACACACAGTGACAGCACATTGAGTAGCCATAAGGATGATGCTTACCTGACTCCTAACTTTGCGATGAGCTTGCACAGCTCGGCAATCCCTCCTGGTCTGTCGCTAACGGTTACGACAAATCTACAGAGCCGCCCGTCTGCTGCCAGCCCCCTCTCGATGCAGCGCCCCAGGACTGTGGTGTCAATGTTCCCTCCACACAGTGGAATCACCACCCTTCAATCAAACATAAAAAATTCATATCTTCAAACAAGCACATAAAGTTTTTTTAGTATGATACACTTGCTACAAAAACCAGAGGGATTACTTGGCAACAAAAAATACTTCAACGCCCTGCAGAGGGCGAATTTAATTCACAGGTTCAATCTCTATATGGAATTCAATAACCTGGAACATAAGATTATAATCCTAATATTAACAGAAGCTTTTTGTCCCAGACGATAGATAAGAAGTATTGTAGGTAGGTAAAACACTGAATCCTGTATCATCTTCCAAGACTGAATGGTACAATTGAAACTGCTCAAGCCTGCCAGTGATGTACAATGTAATACAAAAATGTAACTTTCAGCATGCTCTATGCTACAGAATTTCTATTCTTCTCAAACCCAAAGTGCTGACCTTTTGCCCTTGAGTTCGGGCAGCAGCCCGGCCAGTACGGCGGCCAGCCCCGTGGCGCCCGCTCCCTCCACCACGGCCTTCTCCATCTCCACCAGCCTCAGGATTGCCAGGGCAATAAACTCCTCCCTGGGTCGGGGTAAAAACAATCAGCACAAACCTGGCTTACATTTCTATTGGTTAGTCTTGAGAATGTCAAGGTAAATTTTTGGGGTCACTTTTAATGTTCAATTTATTTTCTATTTTTCAAAACCCTGGCAACTGCAACCCCCCACTTTTTCACTGTTATCCCACCACCATTATTACTAGACTAAGTACATTTGTGGTTAACTTCAAGTTTGAACACCTGCAATTACCCTTAGTTGTAAACAATGTTCTTCATCATTACAATAATGTCAAGTTATGAAAAACTTAAACTGTTTGTCCAACTCAAAATTTGACTCACCAGAAATTTCCGACTGAATCACTCAGTCTTCAGTATTCAGTCGAAAATTTCTGGTGAGTCAAATTTTGAGTTGGAGAACAGTTTAAGTTTTTCATAATGTAATTTACCAACTCAGATGAACTTTCATGCTAATGTCAAGTTAATCTGTATGCTAATATGTTAGTATCATATTCATGTTCCTCCTATCTCCATTTAGAATATAGTCCTTGCTCACAATCAGGAGTGTAGCCCTTTTACAAAACAACTCCTTTTCAGACCCAGGTCAAGGGCATAGAACCCCACAAGGTCAACAACATGGACGCCTGAGTGTAGCTTACCCCACGGTGACCATTTGGTCGATGTAGTTTCTGGCTGTGGCAAAAGCGTTAACCCCAACTGTGGGAACAGCAAGACCTGAAGAACATAACAGAGAACGATAATGTAAAATGCAGCTTCAATTTTCACAAGTTCAACTGGTGTAACAGTTGTCATAATGTTTTCTCCCTCCCTCCAGTTCTTTAACAATTCTTGACTTAAATAAAACAAGAAAGGAAGGGAAATAAATCTATGATGTACATGTACTTTTAAATTGTAAAATATTTCACAAAACTCTAATGTCCTGCAATGCATGACGTATGTGTATATCAAATTCAACAAATTTTACTGATGTCATATCAGTGCATTTTTGTTTATAAATATATATATCCCATATCTGTCTTAGTCACAAAGCAAAACACTTCCTCACCATCAGCCAGTGTGGACTGTGCTCCCACTGTCACAACTTTTCCTGCCTTCATGGACTCTGTGAAGCCAGCACATCTCTCTGACTCAACTCCCTAAATAGTAGGAAACAAGCATACAAAATAGACTCATTGGATCCCAAATGAAATATCCTATAAGAGACACAAGTTTTAAAGCCTAGCAAAGGCCCTTTTGCTAAATCTTTTCAGGTTTGTTTACACTTTATTGACAAGTTTAACTTTTATGAAACCTTGTCAGTAGTATATGTGAAGAAACGGACATGCCACTAAAAACACAAGACTTCAACTTGTTCTTTATACATGTAGTTATACTGTTGTACTTACAATAACTTTAACACTGGGGTATAGACTCTTGATAGCGAGGGCTGATCCAGCGATGAGCCCCCCTCCCCCTATGGGGATGACCACTGCGTCAATGTCGGACACCTGTTCCACAATCTCCAGCCCCATGGTCCCCTGGCCAGCCAGGATGTGGGGGTGGTCATAGCTGAAGAGACAAAAAAGACCATTACACAAGCTTAATTGTGAGGTTATTGTCATTTATCTCGCCATTTCATCACTGGTGAAAGCCATTCAACTTCAAAAGTGAGTTTTTTAAAATTACTCTAAAAACTTTTTTGGAAAAGTGAAAAAGGCAACAGTTGTTATGTTACAAATACTTAGTAATGCAAAACCTCTTGAGCCATGCAGATACAGACTTTTATTTTGCATTTGCATGTTTCCATTAAGCGTAGATATGAAGATTAAATGTTCCTTACCCATTGATGTACACCATCCCTGTGTCTTTTCCTATCTTGAGAGCGTGAGCCTTGGACTGTAGATTAATACACACAAAAATGTTGAGAAAAGCAAGCTATGCCAGGTACAAACTTTTTTCTGCTACCTGGTATTTCATCGTGTTAACTTTCTCGTGGGAAGGATTTAACTTTTAACTTTTTTGAGACCAGCTATTTTGTATAAATCCTATTGGTTCAGGGGGGGGGGGTTAGCAACCCACCTTCATACTTTAACATTTGCCTCACACCAAGTCTGGTCAATGTCAGATATCAAATCTCAGCGTCAGAACTTTAACTGTGTGTGGCTGTATACGTACAGAGTTGAACTCACCTCTCCGATATCTTTGCCTTTCACGATAACGTTCCCGCCGTACTGTCGGCACAGGTTGACCTTCATGAGCGGCGCGATGATGGGCATCACCACGGTGACGGGGATGCCGAGTTGGTTGCCATGGTAAGACAAGGCTAGGGCGTGGTTTCCTGCCGACGCCGCTACGACTCCGATCTGTCTCTGTTCCTTGGACAGAGCCATGAGGGTGTACCGCGCTCCTCTTTCTTTGAAGCTGCCAGACACAACAGTGAATGATTTCATCAGGTCAGCAAGAGTATGTATACTATAAGAAGGTTCTTTATTCAACAACTATTGGGATTTACAAGTTGTATTATCTAACATTTCAAAGACTGTCTGTCGTCTTCTTCAGGACAACCTCTTACTGACAGCCATCTTTGACTGACAGTTTTATACAAGAAACTTGACAATAGACCCAACATTTTCTCTCCATAATATCTATTTCTTTAACTAAATGATGTATTCAGCCACATTAGTGCACATACCTTCCTGTCTGCTGTAGGAACTCCTTTTTGAAGTACAAGTCAAGTCCTGTCAGTGTGGAGAGCTGTACTGATTTCTGCAAACATGAAAATAGCATAAGTTACCTGAAGAACATACATGTACAGTATCATCTGCTAATAAGGCAGCTGTTTGGCACCAAATTTGCATTGGTTATGGTATAGGCAGTTGGAAGGTCGATACTTGTTGATACAATATTATGTGAATCTGATTGAGTAACTTGACAGTAGCTTAGGTTAATCAAACAATTTTTTTTGAAATATGAATTATATGATAAAATTTGAGAACCTCTTGATAAGTCAGTGAACCCTTTGATAGTTCAATTTCCACTTTTCATGACCTATATGGTCATAATCTTACCCTTGCCCGTTTATTGAACCCTTTGATAACAGATAGCCTAATAGATCAATGACATATGGTTGTCATCTTGACTACAATGGACAGGAAATGTACAATAGCCATCATACAAGTACTCACAGTGCACGCTGTTCTCTCAATGCCATTTCTGATTTTGTACGCGGCTGCACTGACATCCTGGAACTTCACGACAATGGGATTGTCTGGGTCACACATGGGGTCCAACAAGTCGTCCTCTGACGGGAGGCTGTTACTCTTCTCCAGGTGGCCGTTCACCATCACAGCTTCAGACGGGGAGGTCGCTTCTTCCCCAGGCATCTTCTGATTCTGTCAATCAATACACAGGTCAGAGGTTAGTGGCCAGGTCTAATGACATAGGAGGGGGTATAAAATGTTGATGTTATTTTTCTTTTTCTTTTTTTGCCAGACAGTTCGTGCTAATTCTTTGTCCTCTGTCCTATAATTTTGCAAACATAACTTTCATACAATTTACACAAATTACAATATATCCCAAAAGAAAATGGTTTACTAATGCTGCAATGGGAAGGACCATAATTGTACTACTCCTAGTATACACATTTCATTAGTGGTGCATACCTAAACCCACATTTAGGTTCAGGTCCGGATTCAAGTCCAGAGGTTTAGGTTCAGTTCCGGACTTGTAAGTCCGGACCTAAACCCATGGCATATACAAAATTGCATGTTGGCAACCTTGCAATGTTGTCTGGGTGAAACTTTGGCCACATAACATGGAGACCGGTACTTGACGATGCCCAATGGCAATGTTTCCTTCATTTTGCAGCAAAGATTTTGCAATCTATTAACGGTTTTAGCTGGTTTGGAAAGAAAAGGGGTATGCGATATGGTCTTTTATGGTAATAAGTCCGGACTCAGTTCTTGACTTTTAGCTTTTTTTGGACTTGAACCTAAACATTCTTACAAGTCCGGATCCAAGTCCAGTGAACCGGTATGCAACACTACATTTCATATATATAGGGGTCGTAACAACTGGCAGCTGAATGCCTGTTGAAGAAAACAGGATAGCTGCTTCCTTTTTCACCTTGCAAATGATGAGCTGACAAATGGGAATATTCACGTCATAACAGAATGAATGACCTCAGTCTGTGATTTATGATACAGGCCAAGTGCAAAAATGTATTCAGACCATTTTTCATGCCAGGACAAACACATAAGTCAGATGAATATTTTATTATGACTGTCAGTGTCACAATATTGTGAATCTGAAGGGCTAATTTTAGGCCATTGCTCTGCAGATGACATCAAACTCATACTTGGCAGATTTAAATATAACTCACAACAGAAGGCAGCTAGGTTAGAAAAGAAAGTCTGACATGCTGTTGTTGTCGCTTTTTACATTATTCACTTTCCACACAGCTTTATTGTATGTCGATTTTAAATATTTGCTTTTAAATTCAACTATATTTTTAGATTTTATGAATGTACAAAGTTTGTTCGCAACATGATGTTAGAATAAGCCTCGCAATTCAGCCATTATAGCTGCCAGGAGGCTTGTGTGTACTTTGTCTCTTTGTTCTTGTAATAATAAACCATTCTACTACTACATTATAGTATTATGCATGATGTGAACAGACAATTAGTATCCAAACAATGAGCATTCCCATGCATCTTGAGTTGGGCCTGTTAAAATGTCCTGTTTACTGTTAATGCATTTCATTTTATAGTTCTTGTATCTTGTGATAGGAGGGATCAAGAATACCCATAAGGACTTCAAAGCCAAAATTAATTTGTGCCTCCTCCTAGACATTTTCAGCAATGTTCACATCTAATGTCATTTCATGGCAGATGATGGAAATGTGACCTCAAACTTGGACTCTAAAAACCCTTTCTTATCTTTTTTTACCACGCACTACCGCGAACTTAGCCGTGGCGACTCTTGATTCGGGCTTACATTGCATTACCCTCAGCAAGAGTCGTGGAAAGATCCATTGGCAGAACTGCACATTTCCCGTTGGCTGCCATAGCGGGACAGTTTGTAACGTTACATCGGTGTTTTTCCATCCGGGCGGCCATCTTGGATATAGTCGGGAATGTCCGCTACCGCCGTCGGGAACGCTCGGTAGGCTTTCTGGTTATGATCGGAGAGTTTTCGGTCGCGCTTCGGTAATCGTGACGCTACCGAGCGCTATGGAATATTTAGGCCGATCTGAACATCGGCAACCCGGCCAATTGTGGAGTTATATTGTAGGGAAGCTCGGGACAGCAAAAAACCGGGTCAAAAACGAAGCATCGGGCAGCCAACGGGAAATGTGCAGTTCTACCAATGGATCTTTCCACGACTCTTGCTGAGGGTAATGCAATGTAAGCCCGAATCAAGAGTCACCACGGCTACCGCGAACTGTGCCTTTTCAACAAATTCAATATACAGTATTCTTTTGACTCATCTTCTCAAACTGCACTGGGAAGGGCTCACTGACTAATACACAGTGAAAAATCATGAAGGTTTTAAGTTTTTTTTATAGTTTTTTTATATCTCTCTCTTTTCCAATCTCACATTCACAAAAGTCACTTTGTGAGGCCTAAACTGATGTGTTTAAAATATTTTCCATAAATAGGCAACAACAATCTTGGTATCAATAAATCAAAAACTTCTTCCTGGGCTTGGGAAGGTAACTACGTAGTAACTGTGGTGGCGATCGCCAAAAACGCAGCAACTTGGTGTTAGTACAATTTAAGTACTTATTTTTTAGCCAGATGTTAACAAATTATTCATAACGTTACATATTAATTTGATCCCCGGGCCCCCCAATGACGTTTTCTATGTAGATCGACCAATTTTTATGCACGTTTGGTAAATTCCCGTATGAATGGCAACAGCCATGGCTTGAGTGCAGGGAGTTTACGGCGTAAAGACAAATTGAGAGAAATAATTACACCTAATTTGATCACATCAAAAGTCAACTACTGGCTACCACGCCATAGGTGACCCCATTTTGTCAAGACGTCAACAAACTGAATTCACCGGGTTTTACAGGGATTTTGTTAATCGTAAGCCTCTGTAAGTGGACTATGGTGAGCCTTACCTTCTTGGTCTTCTCTTTCTGTGAAATCCGGAGAATCTGTGGTGTTCAGAAAGTTTTAAATCGTCAGGAAACTCCGGTACAGGCGATGTTGTTTTGGAAATCTCTCCGGTCCCAAGGAGAAAACTGGGGGCTCGGCCTCTGACGCAATAACCTCGCCGGTATCTCGGCTCTGATTGGTCAAAATTAACCATGCTTCTCTACTATTGGTCAACAGGGACAACGCCTTCGATTGTGACTCATTAGGAGTCCACCGGTTTTACCACAGGAATGACGATGACAAAGCATGCCATCGATTTGTGAGCTTTCTTACCTTCTCTCAAACAATAGCTGCTCAAACAAAAACAAATAAAGCTTTCAAATAAAATAATTATTTAAATTTGATACCTTATACCTAATCAAAAAAAGACACAACGAGAATACTAGTGTTACAAGTTATTTTGTACCATTTTACGTAGCATACAACAGCAATATCATTCCTCCCATTACTTCCCCTGCGCCAGAAAATCCAGTTCGAGTCGGTTCCAACAATCAGCTGATCTATGACGTCACAGTTGACATGAATACCGTTCGCGGGAAATAGCTGGGATATCCGTTATGTGCGTGGGACAGTGATTGTGCAAGCTGTAGCGGAGTCACTAGGGAGAGGACGGTTCGTGGAAGACCGACAAATGTTTTAGCCCTGTTGTCATTTTAGCCGCCGACTTTGTTGTGATCGCAAAATATTTCACGGGGCAGACGTGGACTACTCGTATATATCATTTTAGTTTAATAGATGGGTTGGGTTGGGGCACCTGTGTTTGGGCGCCCTACTTGGTTCGATAACTGGATAGATTAGTAGTCACAAGACCTCACAAGCACCCCTGAGCTGTGACGTCACGGATGGTGGACGTGACCGCCGTGACGATAACTTGCCTATTACAAAATGTATTAATAAGCTGCGGTCTTGGCTTGAGGCGTTGAGGCGGATTTAAAAAAACCGGTCCGAACGCTTAACGACTAACGTTAGAAAGAATGTCCTTGATATGATGACGTTGACATTTGGCGTATACAGCAACACGCCCGCTACCACGGGTCACTGATTATTTTGTAAACAAGTTTGGAGTGGAATCGATGCCATTGCATTTGATTAAAAACCATATTTACGTTACCAATGTTTTACTAGTACAAAAAGTGTATGGTTTTCTACATTGAACATTTGCAATATTGTTGGACACATAAAAAAATCAACCATGGAAAGAGATAATGCATTGAAGACCAAAACGTTTAAGGTCACAGTGAAGAAAGAAAACATGTTCGCGTGACCCGGTCAGTTTAAGCGCTGTCTCATGTGACTACCGTAAAGATTCGTGGTACGCAGCAAACTACTTATAGAACCACAAAAATCTGAGGTATGTAGTCATCGTGAAATAACAAGCCCCGTAGGTAGACTAGATTATTATGTAATCAACTAATTATCTAGAGTCCAGACTGTGTACATGTATGGTGTACAAAATGACTAGTAAACTGGTGGACGTACCAACTATTAAGTACCTAATACCAGCTCAGAAAAGAACAAGGAATAGTCATGCCTTCAAGTACCAGAGTTATCAACCAATGATTGAGATTTTAAAAAATTCATTGATTCTTTCTTAGAACTATCGCAGAGTGAAACTCACTGTCACCAAGTACAGTAGGGGTATTATCATTACACAGTTTTAAACAATGTTAGATGTTCAAAGGGTAGGTGTAACAATTCGTTCGGTGTAATGTAGCCAGCTGCCGCCGCGCCGCCTGCCTGAGAAGGTGGTGTGTTACGACGAAGGGCTGCAGTAATAGTTTTAAGCGTTTGAGGACGCTTGTTAACTGTCTACTGCTGGAAAAGTTTCCACGCTCCTACACTCCACGCTCCTTCACTCAAAGTTTTGGGTTATTACCTCCATGAAAAATTAAGGTATTGTTTTTGGCGCGACTGTGTGTGTGTGTGTGTGTGTGTGTGTGTGTGTGTGTGTGTGTGTGTGTGTGTGTGTGTGTGTGTGTGTGTGTGTGTGTGTGTGTGTGTGTGTGTGTGTGTTTCCGCACATCTGTAGTCAGCATAACTTCAGAACGCCTTTATGGATTGTGATGATATTTGGTATGCTGGTAGGTCTTCGGAAGCCAAAGGTCAAGGTCAAATATGGGCCTCCTGGTGCCTGACCTTGGTACTGCAGCAGACTGGTAGCTGCATTTTCGTCCATCATTTTTTTTTACCGAGATTGATATTAACGTTAGTATTCTTCGTAATTAGGTAATGTAATCCTCATTCTTCGACACATATAAGTGCCTGGCACCGAAACGGGCCGTCATTGGTCGTCATAATTAGATTACCAACTTGACATTAATTATGCACGGCCGTTCTGCACACCTGTGTAAAAACGAGTTTGGTATGGTCCGTTCAAAATGGTGATTTCGTACGACGGGGATACTCTGGGCTTATTTTTTAATACAAATTTCTGGATGCTTTTTAGCGTTATCGTCGGTAGAATGTCTTAGTAAGTGTGCAGTTGAATGTCTGGGAGTTTTTGCTCTGGATTTGTGCCGTTCTGGTGATGTTTTGAGAAGAAAATGCGAATTTCCTGACCTGGCGAATTTTGGAGAAGACAAAAATGGCGAGACAGTTGGGAAGAGTGGCGTGGTATGGAGACGACTTCGCTTATTGTTGCAGGTAAACCAGCAACTTAATTGGCTGACATTATTCCTTGGCAGCTATAGTACGAACAAGTCAAGTTATACTCCGTAAGAAATGATCTATTTCTGTATTAGGGAGCGACCGTTCCTAATTTTATATACAGGCTTAGATTAGAAAAAGTCTATCAAGTTACCGCGTTTTCAACAACATTTTCAATGTGCGGTGCACTTGTAGAGTGTTAATATGTATGTGCATGTCTTTTTCAATTGTTCAGCGTTTTGAGGTTATATTTCTTGAAAGAAATTGTGTATCGAGCAACCCTTTTTTTATCTCCACGTGGTTCAAAACACCTGTTGGAATGTGGCCGTGTACATAATAGTTATTTTTCCCGCCAAAAATTTGCGTAAACAAGATGGGGGCCTCAAAGCTTCAGGGCGCCTAAATGAATACGATACAAAACGTTTGAAAACTAGTTATGTCGAGTTAACCATACTTTCGTTCTTTATTATCAGTTGCAAGGTATTATGATTAATTTAAAAGCTTGTTCGTTTCGATTTTAGAGTAATTCAGTAAAGAGTAATGACCAAGCCCAAGTATTTCTGGCGCAAACACTACAGTTGACTATATAACGGTTGTTGCTGAAAACAATTCCTGTTTTCAAAACATCTTGCGCCGATTTTTTTTGTATTCCACATAAAGTTTCAGTTGAAGGGGGTTGATTTATTTTACTGTTGTTTCTATTCCCGTTTTATGGTCATTATGTAGAGTTTTCGTGGAGGTATGTGTTTGTTTTAAAGTAAAGACATTTAAGGTGAGTGCGTGCGTTGCTAGTTTTTATAACAATTGTCCAACTTGTAATGTCTCTATGATTAGATGATGGACAAGTGTGTAACATCTAATGTCTGTGTCCAAGTTACATGTAGGTGGCTGCTGACTGATGCAGTAGTGAGGACTCTTGCCTGAACCTGAGAAGACAGACTGGACCAGACCAGATCTAGATGATTTGAAGACCCAAGAGGAATATCAGGTGAGAAAATTCCAATTATGTATTTTATCCACCATTTACTTGGTATTATTTATGACAAATGTGTAACTTTTAATGTCTGTATATACATTGTAGTTACATGTACTGTAGGTGGTTGCTGACTGATGCAGTAGTGGAGACTACTGTCTGAATTTGACAAGACAGACTGGACCTGACCAGATGATTTGAAGACCGAAGAGGAATATCAGGTAAGAAAAATCCCAATTCTGCATTTTAACTACAGCTATTTGGTGTTATTTGAAACAAGTGTGTAACTTCCTAATGTCTGTGTCCAAGTTAGGTGGCTGCTGACTGATGCAGTAGTGGTGAATTCTTTGTAAACCTGACAAGAATAAATTGGACCAGACCAGGTGATTTGAAGACCGAAGATGACTCTCAGGTGAGAATTCTGCATTCAACCTACTATTTACAAGTGTGTAACTTCTAATGTCTGTATAGTTTAGTTGGCTGCTGACTGATGCAGTATTGAAGACTACTGTCTGAACCTGACAAGAGAAGATTGGACCAGATTGGGTGACTCAAAAACACAAGAGCAAGATGAAAACAACAACATCCACAGGTGAGACAATAATTGCTTTAGAAGATCTGTTTGACTCTAGCACTCTTCCCTTACGTCTTACACATTATAGAAATAACACACATGTAGCAAACAGTCTTTCACATGAATTTTGTATTGCCTTTGACTTGAATAAATGACTAGTATATTACACTTCTTGAGCACTTGTCAACATTTCTAGGCAGAGGCAAAGTAAAAGGTCGCATACAAGAGTTCATCTTTACCTGGTAGCTAGTTACCCATTCATACAATTATAAATCATGTACCTGGCATCAATTGTTCTTTTATGATTATGTAGGTATAATAAGGGTCAGCAGTCCTGATGTTCCTGTCCAAACCAGGCTAGATGACAGCTTGAAGTTGACGACAGAGTGAAGAGTTTGTACAGGTGAGACGATGCTTTCAACTTTTCAACTTTTAACACTGTACATATCTAAGCAAAGGGATACTGGTAGTTGAATTGCAGGATTTTATCACTTTCATAATCACCTAGTTGCCTGGAAATTGTTTGGGGAGCATCACACTAATTATTCATTATTATTGATGTTAGTTAGGTGTGTCCTGGCATTCTTGTCCTGACTGGGAAAAAACTGTGATGACGGCTCAACAAACCAGTTGACCTGAAAACACATAGTTTGTACATGTTCATGCAGGTGAGACAATACTTACCAACAATGTCATAGATTTTTCCTTTCCTATTGGATGTATTAAGAGCTGTGGCATAGCTTGTTACCAGTAACACTTTGAAAAGCCTATCTTTTTATGCATTGATTCAAGCAACGTACTTGACAACTTACATGACTTATTCCTAGTCTCGCATGTTATTATCAATACGAACTCTGAGGTGTGACATGCTACAAGCACAATACATTTTGTAATACTTCTAAAGGCAGTTTTCTAGAGCCTAACTCCTTAAAA